GGTCCAAATGATGTGCAGCTGATCGTTTACGCAGTGCCATTGAGCAAAATGAAAAATGGCCCAAATACAACTGCTCGATCGATGTAGAAGTCTAGCACCGCCTATATACGTGCACATATGTGAGCAAAAGGAAAAGCTGAGTCATACGAAAAGATTGAAGTCCACTGTGATCAAGAAAATGAGGCGAGCGAAAATTCACCAGACTCTCTCCTCCTCAATATATCAAGTTACCAAAGCAAGAGGATGGACAAATTTCAGAGAGCAGCCACACATCCACACCTACAGATCAGTGGCGGTCTCAGGATTTCGGACCGGGGGGGGGGGACAAAAATTTTATCTGAGTGAAGGTGATGTCAGCCACGCACTCCGAAAAAATTTGGGATGCATCCCAAAATTTTTGTGGGCCCATGACCTCAAAATAATGAAAAAGATTTCTACAGGGCTAGTTTAAACCTTTAAAAAATTTCAAAAATTATTTTATTTATTTACAAGTATAAAGGCCACTTAAACATTTTTACTACCCATATAAGTAACTTTAGAAAATTTCGCGACCCATTCTCGGGGGGGGGGGGGGGCGGGGAGCCTCAGACCGCCACTGCTACAGATGTGATTAGATTTCAGTGAAGGTTAAATAAACGGGCCCACTGTCCATAGACTACTGTGAAAAAACATAGGCCCGTAGTAAGCCCCCATCAGTGCAACTCGGCTGATGCCGGCCTACGTTGAACATAGGACGGTTCACTCCAGCATCTAGTGAGCTATTCGGAATCCGCACCCAGATCAATAGCTGCGGATCTTTATCTAGACATGACAATCATGTTCACTCTTGAAAATGAACCACTTGAGTTAATTTGGTCGAGCAGGTAAGCGATTGGAATTGTATGCGCTTGGCCATGATTCGACACCGGCCAGGGCCACATTTTTGCTGTATCGCAGGGCTTCTTTGATAGCGAGCACTATCGGAAAAATGATGATGACCGCTATCAAGGATTTCGCCTAGAAAATGCATGGATGAAACAAAAACGCATTTTTTGATGAAAATCCCATGAAAAATTGAAATAACTGCAACATGAATCCAATGAAATGAATCTATAGATTCTTGGTTTGAGCAGCTTATCAAAGAAAAAAGTCAGCAAACTTTACAAAAAAGAAAAAAAGGTTTTCTTGCTTTCCTCGTCAAAATCAGCTGTTCACGATCTTCACCTTTTCGGGTCACAGTGTTGTGCAGTTTTTCGCCAATTTTGTCTGCATTTTTTGGCAAACTGATGTGTATCGTAAGTTACTCACAAGGGAATGGTCAGAAGTCGAAGTGGCCAAACCAAACAAGCTGTATACCATTCGATGCAGTATGAAATGCTGACTTCGAATCTGTCTTCCTTATCTGGTTATCGCTTCTGTGGAAGAATTTACAAGCAGTCTTATTGTAAAAAAAATTGTACATAAAAACTGTGAAATTGAGCACATTGTTGCACATTTAGCTCAGCTTTAGGCTTTAAGGACCTGAAGTAAGTTAGCATATTTTGGCCCAGCATCAAGCCGAACGTGGCTCTGTGCGGCCAAATTTTCACTTTCACGCATAATTTCTTAGCAAAATAATCGTTTTGAATGAACTTATAGCTTCGTCCAGAAAAGCGATAAGCATATAAAGAAGACAGATTTAGAGTCAACGCTCATACTGCATCTAACGGTATGCAGCCTGTCTGGATTAGCCACTTCGATATCTGACCATTACTTTGTCAGGAGCAAATTACGGGAGTCTTCTCTGCGTCTCCTCTTTTACACACTATTTGCATTACTCTTACATCAGTTCACGTTCAGTTCAACTAAACGTGAACTGATGTGCAAGACTTGACTGCAGCAGGTGGACGGATGGTCAGCCAGTTCACTCGCCATGCTTATAGCATGGGAAGGTGGGCGGTCATCAGTTCACCTCACCTAAGCTCAACTGATGGTTAAGTTCAGTTCACCTAAACTGATCGAGATTTACTACGGGCCATACTCTGAATGATATTTCCAAGTTTTCTTTAGTATACCACCCTAATGAATGCCGCTATGGAAGATATCACTGGATATGTGTGAAATTTTTGTTGTTCACTGTTTGAAAGCGGTTCAGAAACATTTCAGCCTATACGATATCGCGTCTGGACGCAACACAAAAAGTGCGAAAAACTCTTCGTTTTATTTCCCAAAATAAAGAAAATGACCAAGAAACGCTCATACATGATTTGCAAAACAGTACATGCAAAGGGGGGCGGAAGTTTCTCACTTGAGCCATATTCTCGCACCTAAGTGATGTGCCTGCCAGGCACATCCGGGCTCACTATAATTACAAACTCTTCAGGAGACCAAGGTATCGCAAGCCGCCCCGTCCCTGTCTAGTGTTGCTCCAGATGATGAAACCGGATTTTCAAAGAACGAAATCGAAGTTCAGAAGTAATTTGCCCCAATCAAGAACAAATTTCGGATTCGGGGATTTTCGAGATCGCTCTTTTCACTAGTGGTACCTGTTTCTTGATTTGTTTCTTGATTCTAACATCAACGTTCAAGCCAGAGAATGCCCAGAGATCAGAATTCGGATTCGTATGAAGTTAGTCCTGATTACCAGAATATGGTTGAATCAAAATAGACTGCAGCAAACTTTAAAACTGGCACGTATGTGTAAAATCATTCGTACTCTGTAAGTTAAATTCAATATAAACGAAATTTCTGAGATTTCAAAATAACCCAAGTTTATTTCAAAATTTCAAAATCGCGACAGTTTCCGCTATGACAGCGCGTCTGTGGCTTTTTTGACTGAAGCAAATATTTAAGTGTGATATTCATAAACTAAATTTGGGAAGAAGCCAATACAGGTATAACTATTTTTTCAAGAACTGGTAAACCTGAATTTGGTCTTCTTTTGAAAAAGGAGACCACGGAAACCCCTAAATCAAATACTGATCTGTATTCAGGACTAGATTCTATGCAAAATTATGCCATGAATATTTTTTATGGTCCACTCATAGTTTTGCGTTGGATGGTTGATGTGTAAGCAATACAATTTTTTCAAACACTTCAATTTTGATTTCTAAAAGTAGCACATAATAATTTTGCAATGAACCATATTTCCGGTGATGCCTGTTTTCTTCTTCCAGTCGCTTGTTAAGCGACATTTTTCGTGGCTTTTCAAGTAACTTATTGAGGGCTTAAAATACTGAAAATTTCCTGAAAAACAAACCAAATTTAATCCGTTCTTTGCAAAATAATGAAGATGTTTTCCTCTACTGTTTGACACCACTCCGAGTTTTCTAGGTCTGCTATGAAGCTTTCTGGCATTCAGCCAGCCTCAATGACCTCAGTGAGCTGTGATATATCAGGTTCCAAGAAATAATTGGCTCGCTCATTATCAGCGTCGTATCTTGACATATTCTTAAGATTGAATCCAAGGGCGGTCGGGCAGGAGGCAGCAAAGGCTCGCCGCTTCTGCTTATGGAAGTACCTGAGGAACTTCAGACTTCCTCGCGCCTCTAATTACTTCTTCGCACTTCTAATTATAGATGACCTATGCGAAATTGATCGTTGATTTCTCAAAGCGTGGCAAGTTTTGAAATAGCTTTTATGTTTTAAATTCGTAGCAAGTAAGATAGATAACAAGTTCAAAAAGGACTCATAGATAGCCATCCAACGTCAAATGATTTTAAACTATGAATTGGTCTACTCAATCTTCAGACCAGAATTTCAAACATAAACATGTAAATCTTTCTCAGTTATTCCGATGGAAGACAAGAACTTTGAAGAATTATTGCACTCGTCCTTTATTCTGCATCAGAATCACTTCCTTCTGTTGCGAATTTTGGAGTAAAATTTCCTGAACCCAATCCAAATAAGTTGAAAACGATTATAGCTGAGATTGAAAGAAATTGCGAGAATCTCAAATTGATCCGGGGTGAGATACTCTCCAAAAAGATTTTCGTTCAATTCTTTAACTTGTAAAGTATCAGAGGTGTGAAAAGTGATTAGAGGTGCGAGGAATCTGGACCTCCCCAAGCGCTTCCAGAGGCAAATGCGGTAAGCCTTTGCTGCCTCCTGCATGACATCCGAATCCAGGGAAGGAAAGCACTACGGAATCACATATGTACTTCCGCATCTGCATTTCATTTCTATGGAAGTAATTCGGTTTTTGTGAGAAAAACATTTCAATCTCCAAAAAATTGTTTGAAAAGTCAAATCGCTATTGATATTGCACAAAACATATATCGTTATGGAAAAAAGCGATGATAACCCGTAAATCTGAACGTTGGTCTTGGTTTGGAAAAGAAAATTTCGAAAACCTCCAAATCCGAATTTTGATTTGATTAAGCATTAGCAGTGCTGAACGTTGACTTTGCAACAAACAAGTACCGGTAATAGAAAGAGCAACCTCGAAAACCCCTAAATCCAAAATTTGGTGTGGTTGGAGCAAATTCACTTTTGAACTAACTTCGATTTCGAAGATTTCTTTGAAAATCCGGTTTCATGATCTGGAGCAGCACTGGATAAGGGGGCGGGGCTTGCGATGTCTTGGTCTCCTGAGGAGCTCGTAATTATAGCAAGCCCGGATGTGCCTGGCAGGCACATCACTTAGGTGCGAGAATATGGCACGAGTGAGAAACTTTTCGCACCCCATGCAAAAATATAAGATCGGTGGAGCGGATTAACCAGCAAGAGACTTCAGAGGCAGATTTAATAGACATAAATTTTGTAAATAGCAGGACCGTAGAAGGCTAGACCGGAGATGAAGTTGTGACTTCTTTCAAAAGGTGAGACCGAATATAAAGTAGTGACTTCTTCCAGTACAGAATCTAGGCTAACTTGTAACCGGGCAGAATGGAGCAAAAAGGATCCTATTTTTTACTGTTTTTTGCAGCGAAGATGAGCCTGGAAAAGTAGATGTTCATCTCTTCGGCTTTCAGCAGCGCATCTTCCGCGGTTAAAGTATCCAGCGTGTCCAGCTCGCGCAATTTCGCCGCAAGAAGTACACCTTAAAAGCAACATTTATAGCGTATTGTTTCTTTCTTTCCTATAGCCTCAAACTTGTCCATTGTTTCGAAACCTTTCAACATCGTGGCACCAATATTTACCGCCTCTGAAAGTGATTACTAAGAGATAACAGTTGCTTGTTACTCAAACTTACGACTCTTTGGTCCCTGGCGCTTTTTCAACGTAAGCGCTGCTATCGATTTGATCGACGACGACGGCTCGTATTCGACTAAAAACTGCACAAATTATACAAAAATGTACAACCGGATCATTTACCAAAGTCTGCTCCGCGGGAGCCGAGTTCTCATCATTCACGCTTTCGAGGTCAATGGGTTCCTACCCCATCAACTCTTCGTAATATCGCTGCACATTGGGGTCGGTAACGTCGGAGAATCGCTCCTTCGGAACAAACCATTACAAAATAATAACTGGAATTTTTGCTCACACCCACCCTTGATCAGTGGAGCTATCTAAAAAGAGTAACGGTGTGTAGAAAGGCCAGGAAGTAATCCTTTCCGGCAGTCCTGCGAGTGCTGCGCTTTTCTCCAGCAAGACTTCTGGCATTCCCTTCGTTTGCTCGTGAAGACGTCACGAAGGTATCCAAAAGTCTTCTGTATTAGATCAGCTGAAAGAAAAAAATGCCAGATTCCAGATTGCAAAAAACTTGTTGTATCAATCAATCGAACTTTCTTTTGTACTCTGTCTCCATTCTCCGTTTCCTGGCTTATACTCAGGTTGACGTGCAACAATTTAGACTCTTGTAATTTTAATCCCGATCTTACTATATACATGCTTGTCTCGACACAGCACCTATTAGAAATTGTTTCTCGGCGTCATAGAGACCGTCCAGACGATCCGTGCGCTTCACCTAAATGGAAATGAGCAATTCTGATCGTATTAACTAAAACAATACTGCTTACCAGGCTTTTGTCCATGGCCTCTTGCAACTTAGACTGCGCGCAAACTTCACAACAGCCTGTGCTAACGTCTAAAATGCATAGAAGTGTTAAAAGGCAGAAATAAAATATGCAAAGGAAAATAAGCAGGCAGAGGTCAAGCAAAAAAGACAGAGTTAACAAGGGAATGGTCAGAAGTTGAAGTGGCCAATCCATACAAGCTGCATACAATTCGATGCAGCATAAAATGCTGATTTCAAATCTGTCTCCGAATCTGCAGAGCGCCTTTGTAACCGAAGTTATGAGCAGCTTTAAAGCGAAAAAGCCGTATAAAAAACTGCGAAATTAAGCACATTATTGCTCTTTCAGCTCATCTCTAGGTACGGGTCATATGAAGTGACCTAGTTGCATGTTTTGCTCCAACACTGAGATGAGAATGGCTTTGTAAAGCCAAGTTTGCACTTTACACGCACAATTTCCTAGCAAAATAATGACCTTCAACGGTTTATAATTTCGTCTACAAAAGCGCTCTGCAGATAAAAACGACAGATTAAGAGTCAGCGTTTTATGCTGCATCTAATGGTATGCAGCTTGTATGGAATGGCCACTTCGATTTCTGACCATTCCCTTGTAAGCAAGAGAATTCAAAGAAGGTAACATCTCAGACAATCATAGGCTCTCAGCCGGCGGCCACAGAGCCACCGCGAAAACCCACCAAAAGCGCGGTAGCCTCATCGCGGCCACTTTCGCTTCCCGCTGAAGCCCTTATAGCAGTCCGCCCGCTGCCAGCTTTAGCCTCCCGCTCATTGCCATATTTGTAGCCCGCTCGCTTCTACACTTCTCAGCGGGAAGCGGCAGTGAGGCGATAAGGCCACGGCGCTTTTGGTGGGTTTTCGCGGTGGCTTTGTGGCTGCCGGCTGAAGATCTTGTCTGTGTAGCTTCTTGATATGCTTGGACTACAACGTTGTAACTTCAATTAATTCATTATAACGATGACAAGTAACAATGAAGAACATAACCATCTGGAGATATGACCACATGGAGAAATAGATATAGCCCCAGATGGTTATGTTCTTCATTGTTACTTGCCATCGTTATAATGAATTAATTGAAGTTACATCGTTGTAGTCCAAGCATAACAAGAAGCTACACAGACAAGATTTTCAGCCGGCAGCCACAAAGCCACCGCGAAAACCCACCAAAAGCTCCGTGCCTTATCGCCTCCCTGCCGCTTCCCGCTTTCCTAAAAGATAGGAAGTGTCCGTAGCCCAAAAGCTTAGAGGTTAGCTTAGATCGTATACTACGACTATGTACGGCCACGTTTGTAAACTCTGGATAAAGGTTATAACTAATGAAATGGCAAGTAACAGTTAAGTGGATGAGTACGCAAGTACGCAGTGATACACACGCATAGATTTACGTTCTATAGAACAGAAAATATGCTGATAATAGACCTTGAGGGTACAAACATTGATAAAACGAATCCATATGGGGAGCGGCGACAAAGCAATACACATTCCACCGCGATAAATATATTCACAAACATGAGTGAGGAACTGCCAGTGTTAGCGCGCAATGCAGGGGTTTCTCATGCGAATCGACAATCCATTCGCGCCTGAGTATCTTTCAGGCAACTGTCAGTTCTGATCCAAACCCATTTTCCTTATGTTGTGCAACACTTCCTCTGGAATTGCTCAGACAATCGCCGGGGGCAGGCGGGCACCGGAAAAATAGATTGCTGATCTCTCGCACCCCGCTCGCGGATTTTTTGGAAAGCAATCAGGACTTTTCGGAAGACCGCTTGCTGAGTTCTCGATTCCTCAGAGATTCAGCAATATATCTGCAAAAGATAAGAGCGAAAAAAAAATTCAACAGGCGGCCTCTCAAAAATCCGCTGACTCAGCAAGCGGTATTCCGAAAAGTCCTGATTGCTTTGCAAAAAATCCGCGAGCGGGGTGCGAGAAATCAGCAATCTATTTTTCCGGTGCCCGCCTGCCCCCAGCGATTGTCTAAGTGTGTGCGTCTTCGTCGGTGACTGCAGCGTCTAAGAGAAGCTGTAATTGACTACGATTACAAACATCATGAAATGCCTGCAAAAGAGAGAGTAGCTGGAAATATATAGATATACATCAAAGACAGATATTAGACAGAGAGAAACGCAAGACAAATATGGTGCAGCAATTAGTGGAAGTATGAAAAACCCTAATTTCATTTCTAGGAGGTAGGGAGACTTTATCAAGCCTTGACGATAAAAAGAGACAGAAACTAGTTCCACATCACAGCTGTAAATAACTATCGTCGATTCGTTGACTGCGACTGCTACTTGCTATCGCTTACATCATTTAGAGATAAATAGTACCTAAAAAGAAAAGAAAACAGCGAGAAAACATCAGAATCGCTTAACGGAAGGGTTGCGTCCTCCAAGAATCCAGGATGGGTACGCCAAAGATGGACGGTGTGTGCAATGGCACACATGATCATATGAAATGAACCGACGGTACATCATTGAAAAGGTGTGCACTGTGTTTCGATGAATGCACTTGGCTTCGAAATGAGAATTTTACTTTTTGAAAAGGCCGATCGGTAGAAACACGTGCGACGAAAACAACTTACGCTGTGTGTGGCACTCAGACTAAACCTCAAATCAATCCTTCCTCACTCAATGAACTTTGCGTACAACACGCTGGCGTGGAGTGAGCCGTGATGGTCGTTCGTTGCGTAAAAGGTCATGTTTTCGCGTGTAATCCGCTGAGGCTGAGAGTTTTTTCTCGAAAAAATTATAAACACAGGATTGAAGTAGCAAAGCGTAGCGACGCCCCCTAATCAATAAGAATTTCGAAAATGGACGCATGCGAAACGCAATGATGCAGATCTTTGAGCGCAAAGAGAGCACGCTTGTAGTCGAATGATGTGACAGTGGCGAAAATGTTGAGAGAAAGGCACTTTTATGTTTACATTCGTAAAATGAGTGATTAGATGGTTTTTTACGGTTTTCGAGAGAGTTTGAAAAAGAGTTTTTATTACATTGTGCAGTGGATGTTTTGATTCAAAAACAAACGGGGCTTTCATTAAGCACTTCTTCCGGTTGGATAGACAGTCAAACATAGAGAACAAAAGAAATCTGATATATAAAGAATCGTTAGCTCAATTCAAAAATCTTCAAATAGCGGGGAACCACGACGAGTCCCGAAGCAAACGCTCTTCCAAATAGCGCCTATGGCCCCGGGCAGACTTCACGCGATTTGATCGTCGCGACTGAATCGCGAGGAGACAACTGTTACAACATCATTCCATGCAGATCAACTTGCATTCGGTTGTGATACTTTTCCAGACCGAAATTTTTGAATGTGAAATGAAAATGAATGGAAATCTTGACGATTTGGTCGCGACGATTAAGTCGCGTGAAGTCTGACCGGGGCCTATAGGTACTGGTTCACTAGTACTTGAAATGAAGCACTGAATGATAACGAAAATGAAAACAAAGAAAAGCAAAGATGAAAACAAAGATTAGGCAACAAGAAATGAAAAAATGACGCGAGCCCACGCTGCCAATCTCGTTTGCCTGCACATCTAACTTTTCTGGTGCGATCAACAATGTCTCGAGCGGGCAACGATATGGCATCCAGTTGGCAGCCACAATACGGCGTTATGAATTAAGGCTGCCTGCTCATAGCATTGATGCGGCCCGCTGACAGAAATCTTGTATTCGCAGCCCCATCGTTTCACGGTCGCTGCCAGCTTAACGGAGTCGCTGCCTCATCGTCGCCTCTTGGCTGCTTTTGTAGGAATGAATGCGCTCTGCGGCTATTTTCTGACTCATGGAAGATTATAGCTGCCCGCTGGTAGCCCGTCGCTGCCTGCTCACCGCCATTCCTACAATGTCGTCGCCCGCTCACTGCCACTTTTGCAGTATCGCCGCCCGCTCAGTGAAACTGCCCTTTATCGCCGCCGGCTGAGAGCCTGTGATTGTCTGAGATATGCGTATTTTATGCTGTGGGTGAGCGCTCATAAAGTTGCTATAGGTATGCCTACTGCCGAAAATCGTAATGATGGGATCGCTGAAGGTATGTCTTAGGCCTAAGCGCACTCAAAATTGCAAAAAATTATCAAAAACAACGCTTCTGGAAGACGTGAGGAGGCAACATGGACGAATGTGCTTTCTTGAGCCTCAAGTTCCAATATGCCTACAAGGGGGGGGGGGGGCGTGCCTGAAAGGAAGTGTTTAGACGAGAAGGAATACTGCCGAGTCGGTTAGCACGGACCAATTCGGTCCATTTTGCGCACAGTTTTCTAGGGGTAGGAGAGAGTCGAATGGAGTCGGATTTAAGCAGCGGCGTATTTGACATTCTTTAACAAGATATGTAGAAATCAGCATTAATTTTGGTGAGACACTGCTTTCAACATTGCGCCTCAGGTTAAAGTAAAGCGGAGAGCTCGCCCGCGCGGCTTCTACTGGGCTTTTAAAAAAGGCCATTGGCCTTTGATTGCTGGAATTTTTCGCACGGATTTGCAATGCACAGGGTTGTGCAAAATGGAAATATAATGAACTAGCAAAAATTCCAAGACTCAAATTCTGGTGGAACACTACCTTTGAGGCAACAAATCAAATCGAGGAAATAGTAGGTGCAAAAGTCCAGAAACGAAGAACTTTCGAAACGGAAAAGAAATTTGACGTGTCGGCAAGTTAGGCGACTGCCCTTAAGGCACGTTGGCCTCACCCAGAATTTCAAATTTTGCACCGAAACACGGCGACAGCGTACACACGGTAAACAGACAGATGGCTTCTACTGTAGCTGGTTTTGTTTGAAAGTAGCAAATATATGTCATTTGTCCAGCTATCTCTTGATCCCGGAAGTTAGCTACGGCGGCTCGCAGTAAAGCACACAATGCGCAACTACGGCAAATCTAATGATTTCAAGGTGTTTTTTGCGCTTTCGATGTTTCTTTCGTTTCTCACTTTTTGCAAAGTGAGAAACGAAAGAAATGGAAGAATAGGTAGTGAGCTGCAAATCTGCCCAAAACGTCTTGTATCTGGTGGC